TATAAAACGATATCAACCATACGTTTTTTGCGATTTACGTGCCATGCGGCTGCAAAGTTGGTCTAATAGAACGGCTTTTTCAAAACGAACACGGAAATTTATGTTTTCCAGACCATTTTAAGGCGAAAGAGCATTCAGCATGGATTTTAAATTTGTAGTTTTTGGATGGGGCAATCAGGGGACTTAGAAGCGGCCTCTAGAAAAATAAAAGTATATACATATTATACGACTTTCATGACATACAGGCAAAGCTGCCACGTGGTATACTTAGAACAGATTTTTCGAAATTACACCCAAAATGCTATTTGTCAAATCATTTTTAATCGAAAGGGTAACCAACGCAGATTCAAAATTTATATATTCCGAAGGGGGCACTCGGCGGACTTGGGCTCCAGAAAAATAATAAGATTGCAACAATATGATTTTTACGATACTGCCGGATTTCGACTGTGCAGCGTACTTAGAACGGCTTTTTCGAAACGAACACCCAAATTGCGAGTTGTCAAACTATTTTGTATCGATAGAGCAACCAACGCAGATTCAAAATTTGTATATTTCGAAGGGGGCACTTGGGGGACTTGGGCTCCAGAAAAATAATAAGATTGCAACTATATGATTTTTATGATACTGCCAGATTTCGGCTGTGTGGTGTAGGAAGCCATTCTAGTTAAGAGTTCTAATGCAATATTTCTATACCATTATTTTTAGTAGTTACAAATTACCAAAAAATTTTTGTATAATTTAGGTTATTAACTAAGGTACAACTCCGCTTATATCTTCAATGTATATATTTACTGGTAAAACAAGTAGAAAATGTATTAGATACAATATTAATTTATAAGACTATAAAGACGTATATCCAATGATAATTAAAATATCAATTATATTATGTAAATAGAAAAATATCTAAGTATACAAAAATCTTTACAAAATTTAAAATATTATTTTACGTACATATATATTTCAGTATTTATCTAATTATTAGTTTACAGTTCAATACTAACTAATCCTTAACATTATATTTACAATGGTGGATTAGATCTTTAACACATTCTTATAAAGCTGTTAGCTGTATACCTTTTTAATTGCTAGATAAGAAACATTTTTTATTTTTAAAACATTTATTCCTTTTGTTTAACAACAAATTTCAAGAATGAACATTAAATATAATCTAGAACTTATGTTTATGTATCAGTATCACTACTAAATTAATAATTAGATTTTAGTTATAATTTATAGGTGTATAAAGTAGAATATAATTGAACTCAATGAGCATAGTACATAGCATAATATTAATTTCTACAGCTGAAAATATACAACAAGAAATATAAATAAATGAACATATATTTGTTTTCCTTTGCATACTATCTTTGATAGTGAATACTATACTTAATACTAGTATTTATAATAATATATGTATATTATATTACAAATTTAATTGACATCGTAAAGTGTAAAACTGGAAAGTATATGTGTTTAATAATAATTGTAATATATTCAAATATATAACGCGTTACTGTAATAATATAATAATGTACAAAGTATAATAATGGTAGGTATTGTGGAAAACGTGAGCGAGGTAGCTCGGCTTTCCCACAAGTTTCCAATAGGTAGGTATGTATAATTAAAAAAGGGTTTATATGTATAATAATTAGGTACTTATTTAAACAATAATTGTAAAATTAAAAAAAAATATATAAAAATAAAATACTAAATAGTATGAGAGTGTATTTAAACAATGATTGTAAAATTAAAAAAAATACTAAATAGTATGTGAGTGTATTTAAACGATGATTGTAAAATTAAAAAAAATGTGAGTAATAATAATGGTATATGAGAGTGTTTTATAATTCAAAATATGAAACAATTCTGCGATTCCTGGAAAAAAGAAATAAATATATTAAAATCTGAGCCATATAAACTTAATTTTTCATACATCCTTAACTAAATTATACTTTAATATTTTTTTTACGTTATCACACATACTTTAGAGTTTAGACCATACAATTTCAGGTATTTCTCTGACAAACTGTTATTTTGTCTAAGCTCATAAGTCATTAGTCACGATCACAAAGGTGAACTTAACAATCGCGTTGTTGGTTTATTGCCTTATCGCAGTCGTATATTTTATCTATGTTTCGTAGGTTCTAGCCTTCATAAGGATTTAGGAACTTTTTATTCTTTAGTTGCGAATTTTAAACGTATTGGTATAGAAACCCGTGTATGTGTTAGTTTTTGGTTTTTAATTTTAGTAAAATTCCTATAAGTAATGACTTTTTATATTGTGAGTTTCTCAGTTGTATTTTATTTTCTTAATATCTGAAATGAAATTTCCACCTACATATCTATTAAGAGCTTATAGGTAAGGTTTCATAATCTATTAAGAATTACTGCACAATAATAAATTGGAATAAACTGTAAGTACGTAGGTACATAAAATCAAAGTTAATTATGAAATACTGAAATACGCATTCCGTATTTCTAATACATTTATTTGATATAGGTATTTAATGATGGAATATGTATTATTAACTATTAAATATATTATACTTATTATTATTTTATATTAGTGCGATATGATATTTTAGTATTTTTTTTAATATTCAAGTATTTTTACCTAGTATCTTGTTGCTTTTTTCAATATTTTAATTATAGAGCTAGGTACCTAGTCAAGTTGATACGATACAAAAATGTGAAAATTCAAAATACCTTTAACTCGCTTTAATAATTAAATTGATGATTATAGTTAAATTTACCCTAATATCAATAACCACAAAGTGTTTTGGAAAATACATGGAACATCAATTTAGGGCATTTAAAACAGAAACAATAATAATTCATGTAGCGTCCTAATTGATATGGTTTCATTTTACAAAACGTAATATTATAAGAAAATAGAAATTAATATAACACATTAAAACAAATTTCAAATGGCATTACAAAAATAAATTATAATGTGCCTATAACTATGACACATATTTTAAACGTTGTTAATGGTACTCATTATTTTTGTCCAGGTTAAATTATAAAAAAAGAATAAAATCACAAACATTATTTTTATTAATATGCTAGGTATTTGTAATATTCATAGTTATTATTTTATGTTACAAATTATACGTTCATTGCTAATTAGGCTTGGATGTTGTTGCAATTGCATGTTTTTATTGGGTTATTTAATTTATAGCTAAGTTAGCTTGAAATTATTTTCACAACACAACTAAAAACATATTATAATTTATAAGTTTATGGTGCATATTTTTGCATATTAAATGACTTGGTAATTTTAATCGCATATTTCTTAATTTTATTATTTTTTAGAACATATTTAATAATTGTTGATAAATTGATAACATGATTTGAAAAAGGTGCAATAAAAAAAATAATCAGATATTTATTTTGAGAGTTCTCATTAGGTATTATTGTAGGCATCATCATTTTCAAATAGGTACCAAATTTTTCTAATTTTTATTTTGGCTTTAAAGATGTGTAATTTAATGGGAACATTTTAAAAGAAATTTTATTTTATTTCTAGAACATTTTTCAAGCTATTTATTTATTTTCTCTTATCTTATACTTGGCAATTATGTTAAGTTTACCAAAATATTTGTATTTTTGTAATGTATAATTTAGTAAAATATTTGTATTCATGAACATGTTGCGGTAAAAAGAAAATAATGCATATTTTAAAGCATATTTGTACTTTTTAAGCGCATAAGTGCATGCATATTTAGTACATTTTATGTGCATTAAGTTCCGAACTCCATTATTATTAACAAATCATGTTTATTGATATAATATTTTATTTTTTTGTGAAGGTTTTCGTTTTTCGTTCATTGGTTTAAAAAAAAAAAAAATTGTTTCTGTTATAACATTGGAAAACTGCAGTGGCGCATAGAATAAAATATTATATTATATAAAGTGTATTATTCTTGTGGATTACAAAACGTTCATTGAAGTTTAAAATGGAAATAAATAATACCTATATAATTTTAAATTAAATGTGTATAGGTACATACATTTTCTAGGGCAGTCCCGCCTCAAATGTCCAAACGCCCCGCACGAATGGCAAGTTGTATTTGGCCGTCCACGTGCCCGTCCGTGACCCCGAAAACCATTATTTCGAGCCCCATAATAATCTGTTTCGGGTAGAGGCGGATGTGCAGCTTGAGCCATTTGAACTAAATTTAAATAATTATAGTATATCAGAGACTATTTTTTAACTAATATTAATATTATATAAATTAGTTAATTATTTAAATATTTTATTATTGAAACTAACCGACTGACACAATCCCGGACATAATTGATTTAAAAGCCTCTGTGTAAATGGTCGTGGACGGTGTGGAAGTGTGACCACCATGTCCATGGACCTCACCGCCACGACCACGCATTAGCCCACCACGACCACGCATTACCGCGCCACGACCTCGTACCAGCCCGACTTGGCCACGGTCAGGCGCATGCAGCATGGGTGAGGGCCGGTGATGTGCTCTGCCTCTCGGCCATTTTCCTGGTACCGTAGTTGTCATTGGCCTTCAACAGTTTATAAATTAGTGAAAATTAATACCAAACATCATAATATAAGAAAAAATCATATAATTAACTTACAGATTCGGATCACAAATTATAATTTCGAAGTTTTGTGCATTGTCAGCCAGCTTGGACCTAACTAATGCACAAAACCCCGAATAATAGTCTATTTCTAACTTTGGAAATACCCAAATCGACGATCGTAACCCCAATGACAATGTGTCGTCGATTTGGGTTTCCAAAGTTCTGAAGTAGTGGTCATCATCACCCTTCAACCAAATTACAAAATGTATACTATTAGCAAAATTTGAAACTACGTGGCCCTTTTCAAATGAGGCCCAAACTCTGTTGGATATTAATCTGTAATAATAAATTGAAACAAACATTTTAGTATTTAGTTACATGTAGATCGGTATAGATGGAATTTAAGAATTAAAATTAAAAATAACATAAAAATATTTTAATTTAAATTACTCGTCTTTCAAGTTGAAGTGGGTGAGGCATCTATCCAACGTTGAGTTCTCACTGGCACTAACAAGATCGACGGGTAATATTAATACTTCCCTCGGTTCTGCAGCATTATTACTGGCGGCGCAAAACACGCGGCTCTCCACCCGCAGAGGTGCCAATCTGTCCGGTAGTATTTGAGGCTATATAAAATTACATTTACAATGAATTAATAGTGAATTAATTTCCCAACAAATTATTTACGATGTATACAAAATAAAAAAAAATTATAAAAAAATCTTACGTATTCAGGATCACACACGATAATGGCTGTACCTTGGCCAAATGTGGTTGAAAGCAGACCACGCACCTGATACCAATCCAACCGATCCAAATTGCACCCAAGCTTTGGAAAGATCAATCGATCCCGCAACTGGTTCAACGAATCGGCCAGTGATTGGAGGTCGGCATGTGGTGGAATAACACCTTCGTGACAAGGTAAAAAACATAAAGTTTACCTCCCTCGTCACTCGGATGTAATTCCGCCACACCACCGACCCGGAACTTTTGGTCCATCAGGACTCCGAGGGCTCCGTACTTAAATCCTGCAATTTAAATAGAATTAAATAATTTATTTTCATTAAAATCAAAAATGAAGATAATTGAAAATTTCACAAAACGCATTTATTATACAACTATGCGATTTTCTCAGTTTTTTTTTATTAATTTAAATAATACTATATATGTTATACAAATTTTGCGCAATTTATTTCAATTAAAAACTATAATTGCTTGAGTATGTTCGTATTTTTGGAAAAGAAAGTTATGTATGATATAAAATGAAGCTATAAATGTACTTACTTGAAGTTTATGGCAATGCCTCTTCCCATCTGGAAGTCCTCGGAGACGCAATGCGCCGTGGCCAACTTTTCATCAGCCCTCAGTAACGCCGATGCCACGCCAATTTCGGCAAACAAATCTCTAGATGACAAATTTATGATAGCCATACTAAAAAGTTAAGGAACATAATATTATTGTGTAATAATTCTTAAAATTTCACATAAGTTATGTAACAAATAATGCAATTAATTAATCAAAACCTTAGTCAAGAAATAACATTTTTTAAATATTTAAATTTTAAATTTTAAATGTCTTATAAAATATAAGTAATGTACAATTTCAAAATACTCACACGTATAATATATTTTGTTTTTATAGATGTATTGTGCAGACTGCAGGTTAAAAAAAGGACGGTATAGGTGTACCTAACTGCAGTGTAAAAGTCAAGACTCTAGAGGCGTTAAACTATTTGTTGTACGGCCTTGTATAGACTTTGACTTGATCACTCCCTCCTCTCACTCTACTGACGTAGGTGTACAATGTACATATGGTACACCACTGTACCTGGACTGTCAGTCAGCTCATTGGTCGGCAGTCTGCACAAAATATCAGATATAGTTAAATAAAGATTAATGAGAGTAGATGATGGAACTATTGGAAAATACGTATACCTATAGTTACATTAAAATTTAATATACTTTATTTTGTACATTTTCAGAAAATGAACTTTTCGGTATGTTACATAATAACAAATCTATATATATATCTATACCTATAGGTGCATAATCATTATTTTCTATGTGTCAAATAATTAATTTACACTTTCATCGAATTTACGCAAGTATAAGGATTATATATTATAATATAATCGTCCAATGTCGATATAAAATATATAAAACAATATTTATTAATTTAGGGCCTGGAATTATATGGACTTTAAACTATCGGAATATGTATTATAGGTGGGTAATATATATACACCTCTATTAATGAATAGCACAATCTAGAGTGATATAAAATAAAAGTATATGTTTAATTTTTGATTTTTATATTATCTGCATACGTCATTCACTTTAATGCATCATACATGTATGCAAGATTCCTAATAAGTTTTTTATCTTAAGTTATTATTCGTTTGATGTGTAACCAGCTTTTTAATGCTCATGATGTGGCCCTAACAGCCACACACAGCGGCTGGAACATGGCGTTTCAACCGCTTTGGCACATGCAACCACACAAGGAGTTTTAAAAGCAATAAAATAAAATATTATATAAAAATACCTATGGTAAATGAATTGTATTAAAAATGAAAATATATGACCACAGATCAGAGGTGCAAATACTTGCTGTACAAATTTTATGCTAACCATTAACCAAATAATATACATATATATTATAGATACATTGGTATAAGAATATTTAAAAAATGTAATAGGTAGTACTAACTAGTACTGAATGGTAAGATGTAGCTAAAAGCTTAAATAACTAAATCAGTGCCTATGTGAATCTCGTTTTAAGATGATAATAACAAAGTTTTCATTTTGACTTTTGAGGAGGCTTGTTCTAGAGATGAAACAAATTGTTGATAGTTTGTATATTATATCAATTGTGATAAATTATTTCAATCTTAATTAAAAATTATTGTACCTATTTATATATTATAATTTATAACTTGTGAAAATATTTTTTATATTACAATAATCCTATGGGGGTGGGTCAGTATAATTTATTGTTCATTACCACACCCAAAAAAATTTAGTTCGTCGCCACTGCAGGTTAAAACGCGTGCCTACCTAGTACCTATACGCTAGCGTCTAAAAACGCGTGGTGTGTAAACAGCTTAACACCACAAACCAAAATCGATTTTGGGTACAAATTCCTGTTTTTTCTAAATTCTAGATTCTGAGCGGAGCGATGAATGTATTTGTCTTACAATGATGTATGTTTTTTTTTAATCACGTCATCAATCACGTTTTAGGATAGTAAAAATGCTTGGATTTTCTTCAATAGTACCTTTTCTGATGGGAAAGTGAATCTAGTTTGTACTTGGGGGGGGCTCAAAAGTAAACATTTTTCAGTAGCTCTCAAAAGTTCCGGAAAAAGCAGATGAAAAATTAAGAGAAAAATGAGAATTTTTACGCAAAACCGATTTTGGTTTTTGGTGTAACTAGAAAAAAAAATGACCATAGATACATGGAATTTTAATTGAATATTAATGTTAGCATTTTCTATACACCATACCGTTTTCAAAATATTTTGATTTATTTTGAGCTATTTACTGAAAATTTCAGTTTTCAATTATTTTAGGTTTTTTTTCTATAAATATCAATAAAATTTTATTTGTTGGGTACAAAATCTTGAAAATTTAATAGAAGGCTCCAAATATACTGTTTCAAAGGCAGATGCAAAATATTCAAAATCCGTAGTCACCACTTTTTTTTCTAAGCATTTAAAGTTGAAATTTTGATAAAATACGTAAAAATGACGAAAATTTGATAACCAAACACTTAAGTTCGGCAACCGACCCAAGCTCTTTCTATTCAAAGTGTCCTAATAAGTCATAAGAGAGTTAATTAGGTAAACCTATTATGGTTAGTGGATCCAATGGTGATGATAGACGACTATCATCACTGGTCGTGAGCTTTGCAATGATCTTTTCCTACTAACTATCAAGGTATTCGATATTGTAATCATAACAATGAAAGAAAATATTTAAATAGGTAATGGTTATTTTAGGTTAGGTTAGGATAGGAGAGGAAATTAGACGTTAACTAATTATCATAGTTTTGAACACGGTCTTAAAGACTGCCAGCTAGAGTTGTACCAATATAATTAAAAACTTAAATACAGCCAACTTTAATTAATGATTTTTTTACCACAACGAACTAATAATAATATGTATTTTAAAATATAATAAAATATAATTTTATTACGTTCTTATAAGATTTTAAATACTTATTAGTCAATTTTATAATTTATTTACCTACAATCAAAGCAATAATTCTATAATACAGACAACTTGAATAACCATCACAAGAAATGGTCCCAATACTTGAAAAAATAAAGATATAATGGGTGCAGATATATCTGCATCCTTCACACAAGTGAATATATGATAACATTGTACTATATAAGATAATATGATAAAAAAACGGTTTACTTACTTCATAAAATATGTAATAACATTTTCATCACTTATACCACTGCTAGAAATCTCGTTATTTTGCTCTTCATCATGTTGTACCTAAAAAAAACTACAAAAAAATAAAATTATATTAATAAAATACTATAATAAGTAAACAATTATAAACATATTATGAAATATAGCTTATGGTCAAGGCTGGGCATTAACGAGTTAATAAGTTAAAGTTAAGTTAAAAAGTTAAGTTACTTTTAACTAAGTTAATTAACGAGTTACTTTTTTTTTTAGAAGTAACTTCTAACTTAACGATTTACATTTTTCCCCATGTTATTCAGTAACTTAACGAGTTAATTAATTTTATTGGCACGTTAAGTTAATTTTTTCCCAAACCACATATTATTTAAAATTAATTCAATTTAGTAAAATTAATTACATAAAAAAAAACCCGAAATATTAAATATATTTTATTAAATAATAATTTATAATAATAATAGTAAGTTTTTATATTGCATATTCACAGAAAATATTTTATAACTATATTTTTAGAGGGAAATATCATAGAGATGACTAACCGCGTCAAAGAAAAATATAACAATTTACTCAGTACCTATCCCATACACGACATATCACCTAACCTATACCTAATCATTATTAATATCATTACTAAATTATATTTTTATTCATTCATAGAATTACGGTGATAACTTGGCCCGTCGATGTAAATAATACCCGTAGACCGTAGTAGCGTGGTATTTACTATTTACCTAATTAAAGTATAATACACAAAATTAATATAAGTACCTGCAGTAACTAATTTTATTACAAACATTTATTCAAATATTTTAAGACATTTTTTGATTTATTGAATTATTATGTTATTTGTTAGCTTTAAAAAAGGTAGGTAGCTAGGTATAATTGTTAATTTTATTTTTAAAAAAAAATAACTTATTTTTAACTAAGCTAAGTTACTTTTATTTTCTATTTAACTTGTAACTTTTACAAGTTAAAAAAAAAATGAAGTTAACTTTTAACTTTAAACTTAACTTACATTTTTCTATATTAACTTAACTTAACGAGTTAAAAAAATAGTTAACTTGCCCAGCCTTGCTTATGGTACCCACCTTTGCGAACAAGAAAGTGTGTTTTTATGGTATACTAAATTATGTTTATTTACATGATGCAACCATTGTCTTACTTTAGAGTTTGACTCTATTCAGTCAGGCTGAATGCCATAGGGACGTAATGGCAAAGAAGATGAATCCTTTGGTAAATTATTACTTGTACTGCTTTTAACAGTACCTAATGTATTATATTTTTTAGATAAATTGATCAACTTCGCTGACTGGTTTCTTCTATGCCGGGCCTCCATACCAATTAACTTAAAAAATAGTCCTTGAACAACAATAAAACGAACAACGTAACATTAAGCAATGATATATTGACTTGGATATATTAGATTAAAGAAATATGTAGGTATCAATATAAAATATAATCATTACATACTTGACTAAGACCATCTAAGACTGTGGAAGGTGGAAGTATTCTTGTAAATATATTTTTAATTACAGACTGTCTAAATAACTGAATTAATAACACTAATAACCAGTAAACACGCTATTACTCTAATAACTAGTAATAAGTAATATACCCGATTTACATTCAGCCACTGCCGTATTTAATTCCCAAAATACTTCTGTTGCAATGTCTTGGCAGTGAGTGTATTTACATTGTGCAGCTCCAGCAGCAACCCAACCGGCAGCGCTCGCCGGTTAACCTGCTACTCGCACTGCTCAATTTACCGATGTTGACGCGACAATGCGACTATGCGAGGAGCATGGCCATGATCAGCGCGAGTGACCTGTTTACTTACTCGTGCTGCCCACTTCCATACCCACTTCCCTGCTCACTTCCACGAAAATGGGCTGAATGTAAACGAGGCAATAACTAAAGTAATAAGTAGGTAATATCACATTATCACATCAACAAAACATTAAAACAAAATAATATTCAAATTTATTAAGTCTA